TCTCTCTCCCTCTCTCTCCCTCTCTCTCCCTCTCTCTCCCTCTCTCTCTCTTTTTCTTTCTTTCTTTCTTTTCTTAAGACAGGGTCTTGCTTTGCAGTTCAGGCTGGCCTTGAGCTCACCTGCAATCTTCCTGCCTCAGCCTCCGGAGTGCTGGAATTATAGGTGTGCACCACCACATCCAACAAATTTATTTTTCTGATGAAACATCACATCTTCAATTTTAAAAAACTCAAGATTTATGAAAAGATTTAAACAAAAAGATTAGTGCTCTAACTCATAAAAACTCCATTTAAATACAAGTTATCAGGCACAGAACATTGTATTATGCCACAATTATATATAAAAAAGGTAACTTGGCCTGAGTCCTATTGAAAATTAAAAAATCTTATGTAGAGGCATTAAATTAAACATAGAAAAATCCATCTAAATAATTATGGACAGAGACAAACAGGCCCCCACAATCAATTTGCAAATTAATTTTTTGCCTGCCTCAAATTACCACAGAAAGATTATGGAACAGAAGGGTGGTGGTGAATGAACTTACCAAATAAAGTTTGTCCTGAGAATTTTTCTACTACTGTACAAGGCTTCACAAGGAAATCTGCAAAAGAAAAAAGTTATTTTATAGTGGAAAATATCCTAAGCACCAAGTTAACCCACTTAGATCTCCCTACAAGAATTTTCTCTACAGTAATATTACAGATAGCTAAGTAAGGTAGAAATATAGTAGGCAGTCAGACAGGGCTGGGCCCTCGAGGGATGAAATTTCCCATTTTCTCACTAGGGCTGGGCCACCCTCTTCCACCTGCTAAGACTAAGACTAAGACTGCTAAAACTAAAGACAAGACCAAGACCATAGATTATTGACCAAGGTTAATGATGTCACTCATGCACCTTTGCTACCATTAGATCAGTATTACCTAAGCGACTATACTTGCAATCTTATTGATTGATCATAATTTTGACCCATGTTGAACCCACCTCATGATTTTGCTCTATAAAAACTGCCTTTGAGAGATGGGCTCATTGGCAACTCACTCGGAACCCCTCCTATCTCTCAGGAGCTAACCTTATTCCCCATTCTCTTTCTCCAATAAATATTCCTACTCTTCTATTGTTTCTTAGAATTCATTCTTCAACTTCAGGGTACATGATCTTGGGTATATTTGACATCTAGCATTTCCCCTATATCAGTAAGAATAACATGACAATAGATTTTTAGATTGCTGCATTATGGACTGTTTCCTCAACTACAGGTAATACAATGTTTAACTGCAGAATGGTTCTAGTCAATCCTCAGCAAGCCTTCAGAACTGCTGAACTGCAAGAACAAAGCTGTCCAGGAACCTAAAAATACTCCTATTTAGGAGTTTTTCCTCAGGCAAGCAAACATCATTTCTGATAGCTTGTCAGAAAAATCTTTCCCAGTGCAGAAATAGGTAACTTAAAAAACTAAGGTTACAGACACTCTAGGTTTGGACTTCCTAATTTAAGGTCTTTTGTACAAATAATTGGTTTCAGAGATCTATTTTTCTAGTTAACACAAAGAATTCAGGCAACAATCTGAACTTTATAGAAACAAAAGACCTAAGCAACCTTAATTCCTTTGTGATAACTTCTTGCAATATTTTCAGACATAATCCATCCTTTGGAACTGATTGTTTGGATGACATGAAGTCAATAAATGAACAAGACTACCAAACATCAAAACTCTAAAGAAGCCTGGCGTGGTGGCATGTGCCTGCAATCCCAATACTCTGGAGGCTGAGGCAGAAGGATCGCTTAAGTTCCAGGCCATCCTGGGCTACATAAGTGAATTCAAGGCCAGTCTGCACTATACATAGCAAGACCCTGTCTCAGAAAAAAACAAAACAACAACAAAAAACTGAAGAACTAGCCAGCGTAGTAGTGCACTTCTGTAATCCCAGCACTTGTGAGACTGACACAAGGAGAAGCACAGCGAGTTTGAGGCCAGCGTGGACTACATCGTGAGTTAAGGCCAAAACTGCATGAAGAGACTCTATCTCAAAACAAAAAGAATCGGAAAAAAGACCACATTATTAAGAAATGAGGGGCAAATTCCAAGGAAGCTGGTCAGCTATGATATGTAGATGTATGTCCAGAAGGTAATCAGGAAGGAAAGGGATTAAGTTCAAGATACATACCAGGTCAATTAATGAGAATGAACTTATAGTGCTACACTTAATTCAAGGAAATCACTATTGTAAGAACCACCCAGCATGTTTCAGAAATTATTCAATTTATTCTGTCAAAAATGTGCAATTCATTAATATAGAAGCACTTATACTAAATTCACATAGATGCCTATAAAGTTTCAAGAGACAGACCAATGAAAGGCAGACTCAACAAAAAGGCTGAGACAAGTCAGCTTCAATGCCAGCAAAGACTCCTCTTCCCAACAAACACAATCAAATATCCTGATTGAAAGGAAGCATATTAGTGTGAAATATCAGCAAAATAAAAAATTGTCCTCATGTCACCAAGGGTCTTCCCAGATAAGGACCAGGAAAAGGTGAGTCTGAAAGAAGCTCTCTGGTACCAGATGTATTCCTCAGAGTAAAAGTAGTTGTGTTTATATGACCTGGAAAATTTACATACTTACAGCAGTAGAATGTAATTATGCTAAAGCTAAACAATTAGCTAAAAGGTCTAACGATCAAGGATATTTAAACATTCAAGGAACTAATGAACAAATAGCCAGGGATATAAGGATAGAGTAGGGATTAGTTAACCTTATATTAATCTTTTAAGTGTTCAGGATACCCTTAAGTTTCACCACCAAAGAAGATGTAACAAATCTTTCTGACATTATTTGAATTAAGATATACATTTTTTACCATAGCACAGTATACGATATAGACATGATTTTCTATATTGTAAGACATAAGCCTAAAAAGAATGTAAATATCAACATACGTGAAAATTAAATAGTATGATATTAGTGATTACCATAACTAGCTTCAATGGAGAAGTGAACCCTGGACGACATACTCAAAGTCGCCTTCTGAAGATAATGAAATGACTAAGAGACTAAAAGGAAGACACGGAGGTCCCAAGATGGCCAAAGAAATGGACATATTCAACACCTACACAGAGTAGTTTACATGATCACTTATGTGCTATCTATCACACTGGCTTCAACAAGGGCAAAGAAGCATAAAATTTTAACTATTTATACAGCATTAGAAAGAAAAACAAGTAGGGAGTATAGCTGAGTAATAAAAGTACAGTACTGTCCTGGGCTTGAACCCCATACCAAAACAAAACCACACAACTATAAAAATCAATCAGGCTTCTGTTTTGCTTTGTTTCTGTTTTGTTTTGAGACAGGGCTGCTATGTAGTTGGACCACGGTGGTCCTCCTGCCTCAGCCTCTCAAACACTGGGATTACAGCTGTGTTTAAATCAGATTTAAACCAAATAAGGAAAAACTAAGAGACTCAAATCAGGCCTCCTAAAATGTTCAGGAATGGAAAGGAGAAAACAGTAACACTTTTTGGTTGGGATATGTTTTTAAGAAAAACACACCCTTACCCCATTTTTCAAATGCAGGATAATTAAGAGTTCAAAATTTTAAGAAGGCAACATTAAATAGTTTTAAAGAACCTTATTTTTCACTGATATAAAAACAAGTGCAGCCCAGAATGGTGGTGCATGCCTGTAATCCCAGCACTCAGGAGGCTGTGGCAGTGGGATCACCAGGAGTTCAAGGCCAGCCTAGGCTATATAGTGAGTTCAAGGCCAGCCTGAATTATACAGTGAGACCCTATCTCAAAAACAAACGAAACAGATTTTACTGCATATATACTGAATATTACAAAACAAATGCAGGCCACAATTCAAGTATAGAGACAGTAATAACTCAAAGGTGTTAAATTTCAAGAAGTAGCTTTACAGCTAGGCACAGTGAGTGGCATTTGCCTATAATCACAGCTACTCCAGAGGCTGAAGGAGGAAGATCACTCCAGTGTACAGCTGGTGTGTATGTGTATGTCTCACTGCTACTGTATTATGTTTCTTCCTGCTTCCTAATGTTTTACTTATGTCTGTTAACTTTTCAAATATTCAAAACTTAGTGTGTTGGTAGAATTAGTCCACGTAAGGAATGCCTTGTTTTTTTTTTTTAGACAGGGTCTTGTTCTGTAACCCAGGCTGGCCTCAATCTGTTAGTGGTCCTCCTCTTTCCCCCTCCTGAGTGCTGGGATTACAGGATTACAGGTATGCATCAGCATGCCAGGCAAGGAAGATGCATTTATAAGATGAGTAAAACTATGGTTTAAGCTTACTCTTCGAACCTCAATTCCTGCTGACAAGTATAAATTAAAATAGACACAAGAAAAGAATTCAAAAGAATGGCTGCATTCCCCAATGCTAGATGGTGGGAGTATGTTCACCCCACAAATATTCTGGAGTGGTGGATACTACTGCAGGCAGTGCTGTTGATAGCAATAACAAATTCCTATCCTTACCCAGCCATTCTAGTATCAGCTATGACCCTTTCACAGGCCTGAATGATCACAGGGTGACTTTTCCCTTACTTATGACTATGCTTTGAAATAAATAAAATAACAGACATAAAACCGAGCTGGTATTCTGGGTCAGTGAGACCTCCAAGCAATATGTTCAAAAGTAAAAACAGAAGACAAGTGTCTTTTCTACCTCTTTGGAAACACTAAGGGTTGGGAGTATTTAGGGTCCCCAGTGCAACTTTATGATTAGTATGCTGTAATTCTCTGCCAGCTATGGGTCACAGATAAGAAGCTAAAATCATAAGAAGCTAAACAAAACAAAACATCCAGGGGTAGGGGATATCCAGTAAACTGTCACTAGACTTCAGGTTATGATCACATCTATACTAGCAATACAATTCTCAAATCTAATGATAATGTCATTATGATAAGCAAAAGCTCAAATACGATAATGACCAAAAGGCCAATTTTGTCCAATTCTGTGACATTAGTGGTACACGGTATGTGGCTTCTTTTTGTTTTTTTTTTTCCTCCGGTACCGGGAACCGAACTCATGACCTTGCGCTTGCCAGGCAGGCGCTTTTGCCGCTGAGCTAAATCCCCAGCCCCCATAAATTGATTTTTTAACATGTGTGAGGGTTCTAAATACATTCCTCAAAGGAGGCTCTGCAAAAGAGAATTTGAAATAGGTCATTTATCTTCATTAATGGTTCAAATGATGACAGTTGATTTCCTAAATGCAGATGCCCAAAAGTGAGCAAAGCAATTATGTTCTGGTAGTTTTAAAAATTAAGATTTGATGACTGCACTTCACAAGCACCTCAATCCTTTTCACATCTCAAGAAAATAGACAAGAGAAAACCTATGTTCTAAGAAATCATTAAATGATCCAATCAATAACAAATCTGACTGGTACCCCTTAAAGTCACTTATTTTACAACTATTCTTTTAAACCTAATTTTTGTAAAGAGGTGTGGCTGAGGTAGCATCAACCATATATAGTATGATGTCTTTATCGCCATGAAAGATTAAAACCAAAGATCAACATATAAGAATCCGCTTTAAAAGGGTAAACATTTTAATGTTCATATAGAAAGTAGAGATGCTTTGT